CTGCTCACACTCAATAAATACAGTGTTTTCATTTACCAAACAGACAGCAAAGGCATTTTTTGCCTTGTTTGCTCTGTACTACATGGAGATACCTCAGGTACATCAATTAATACTATGGCAGTTTTCACATAAATTTTTTAGATATCCTATTCCAGGAAATCCACTAGCTACAAAAAATCCCATACAGCTATGCTGGCAATGGACATGAAGTGAAAGGGAGTTCAAGCATGTCTTTTCACAAACAGACATTTTCTTATTTTTAAGCTTGCTTCAGTGTTTGCCAATATCTAACATACATTACGATGCACTTGTCTTTATTCCAATAACAACAAAGTTATTTCTATATGTATTTTTAAACTAGAGATTTAATGAAAAATTTGCATCAGTGTATTAGTATTATCTATATGCAAAAAGTCTGTATGTTCCCAAATCAGGAAGCTTACATACATACATAGTCAAATAAATAAATAAATAATATTATACACTACATGTTCTAATGTTTTTAGAATGATCCTTCCTGCAGGATTCTGATAGCCCCCTTCCCACTGACCCAATCCATATACTCAAGTTGCAGCACGTGCAGAGGACTCCAGATATCGCCTTGGCTACCTTCAAGGAAAATCATGCACTTTAACCTAGCTAGGGTGACATAAAAAATAACTGAAATAAATGCTCAATGACAGAAAAAAATCTACAAAAGAAAAAGAAAATAAGTAAATAGTGATATGAAGAATCGTGTAAGTACAAAATGGTACAAACTACATGCAAGTGGCCAGTTCTTTCTTACAGATTTCCTTTGCTCTAACAATATATATTGCAGAAAACTAATTCTATAATATATCTGATAAATTATGAAGTAGCCTAGGAATCTGGTTAGCAGTGTGGAATGTTAGAAACCATCCAATGTCATAGGAATCGATGGAACAAACTCTAATCTACTAACATACCAAAATACTATGAAGACATTGAAAAAGAGTGCTATGAAGTCAATTAAATATTAAACAAAAAGATAAAGATAAAGAAGAGTACTAAAAAATTCTCTGTTCTATAAAAAGAATAACATACATATATTGCTTAGATATATGTATATGTAAACATGCCTATATATACAGACACGTGATATGCAAATTATTATGCACATGCATAAACAGAAAAAAAACTATAAATAAAAAGACTAATGACAGAATGAAAGTAATTGGAATGCAAGCACACTCCTTTTGAACCTATTTTTTAAATGGACATTGGAAAAATATTTTTGTTAAGTGTATATATATATTAAATAACACTGAATACATTGGGAAAGTATCTAGCTACATATCAAGTACACAATAGAAGCCCTCCCGTTGATCGTCGATTTGCTCGAGCGGGCCCAGTAACGTCTCCATTGGAGACTTTGTTGTTACTGTGTCTGGCAAGCAAGGGGAAAAAATACTTTCAGTCATCAAGAAAGCAAAGTTCAAAAATTAAGCATTTATTTAAAATTAAATAAAATTATTTAAAAGTTTAAAATTAGTATTTTTATTCTTGGTAATAATATTAGTGTAAACTTCAAAATTATTTTGTGTACATTATAAGATCATTGTCACTGTCCTCCCGTTTTTCATCAATTTGCTCAAGTGGGCCCAGTAACATTGTGAGACTTGTTACATATCGAATACATCACGGGTAGCTTGGCAGGCTTTGCCTTGTGGGCGAGATACTCTCAGTAGCTTGCCAGGCTCTCCGAGAGGGGCGGAGGAATTGAACTCGGGTCAGCCATGTTGGCTGCGTGCAAGGCAAATGCCCTACCCGCTCTGCTATCACTCCAGCCCTCCTGAGAAATTAAATGCCAAATTTAGGAATGTGGGAGCCATGTCCACAAACCAACTTCGGCTTAACCATACAAGCTCATTTAACAGCCTTGCTTCAGAAATCCATAAATAAATCTCAAAAGAGAGCAAAAGTTGCAGTTGATCTTGGACCCATGTAAGGCTGAACAGATAGGAAACATCGGTGGGGGCCACCCACCTAAACAGAACCTCTAGCAGCCACTTTGTCCCACAATCCAAAATCACTGCTATGTCCCCAGCCAGACTTCATCATCTTAAAATAGATCTCACCGAGATATTATCTGCTGAAAATTTGACTATGCAGGTTTTGTGACTGAAATATCCAGGCTTTTTTTTTTGGGGGGGGGGGGTCGTGATGGGTTATCTTCCCTCACCTCCCTGTACTTTGAAAGCCGCGGCAGTCATGTTCATACCCCAAAGGCGCTACCCAGTTTTAAAAACAGCTACTCCAGCTATAAGTTCCCAATAAAATACTGAACACCCTGAACAAACATGATGACCTCTTAGTACCTGTATTGCAAACCAGAATGCACAAAAGAAGAGAGAGAGAGAGTGAGTGAGAGAGAGAGAAAGAGAGAGAGAGAGAGAGAGAGAGAGAAGAAAGATATACCTGCCATAGAGGATAGAGGAAAGCGGGGGTGGGGATGGAGTGGGTAAGGAGGGGTAGGAAGAAGACTTGGGACACTGATGATGAGAAATGTACACAGCCTACATATCTACATATGATACAACTTTCTGATAAAAATTAGATAAGTTATTTTTTCATCAATCATGAAAATGTTTCCTTAATAAAGATGTTCAAATCCTTTGACATAGTAACAATTAACTCCAGAGACAGTTCTGCCTCTTTCCATCAAATTTAAAGTCTTGGGCTGAAGCAGTAGTACAGCAGGTAGGGTGCTTGCCTTATATATGTGGTAGGCCTGGGCTCAATCTCCAGCATCCCATATGGTTCCCCTGAGCACTGCCAGGAGTAGTTCCTGACTGCAAAGCCGTGAGCATCACTGAGTGTGATCCAAAAACATACATAAATAAATACATATATTTCAAAGTCTTTTCTTGTTCCTGTTAGAGAACCTATTTAAAAAAGCAAAAATAAGCAAACAAATAAACAAAAAAATCCTATGAAAATGTAGATTTTCTGTCAAAACAACTGAATGAAAATCGAATAAAAATCCTTTAAGCTTATGTGCACTTAGAAAAGTGCAGATTGGGGAAGAGCAATAATAAAGTAATAGGACAAATTCCTTACACAAGGATGACTGGGATTCAACCCTCATCACCCCATATGATCCTCTGAGTCAGAGTCAAGAGTAAGCCTTGAGCACCACCACACTTGGGGTACCTCTCCACCATAAAACAAGAAAAGGGCAATATGCAATTAAACAATTTTATGACACTAGAAATAAACAAGCTCATAATATATGATTGATAGAAAAAAATCTATCAATTTTAAGAGTTGTGAAAATGCATCGGTGGTTAAAAATTTATTAAAAATTATAAGAAAAATTTATTAAAAATTCATCTGCTGCACTATGTCAAAGCAAAATTTATATCTAGCTTTTTATTTTTGACAATCCCTTATATCCATTAACCATTATGTAAGTTCTTGTTAAAGGTAAAGGTAAAGGCCCTCCCGTTGATCGTCGATTTGCTCGAGCGGGCCCAGTAACGTCTCCATTGGAGACTTTGTTGTTACTGTGTCTGGCATATCGAATACTCTCGGTAGCTTGCCGGGCTCTCCGAGAGGGGCGGAGGAATCGAACTCGGGTCAGCCATGTTGGCCGCTTGTAAGGCGAATGCTCTACCGCTGTGCTATCGCTCCAGTTCTTGTTAAGAAACAAAAATAACAGTATATACTGTGAATTTAATTTCACAAGTTAGCTATTTAAAAATAACAGGATTTTTAAGTCAGATAGTAAAAATATTGATATCTTTATTTCAGAATTATCAGAATAAAAATAGCAGAAAATATGTTGAAGTTGAATTTTGATGGACAGAAGAGGCAAGTTGAATGATTAAAAAATAGAGAGTAATAACAGAACAGATATTCATAAAACTCCTCAGCAACACATAAAAAGGTGAGAAAACAATATAAGCAAATAACAACAGAATTTGACAGAATAGAGGTGATAAATAATAGATAAGGTTCTAGTTCCACAGGAGATGATGAGTACATTTATACGATCCAGGAAGACTGGCTTCAAACATGAAAAGTACTGCTAGATTTTAAAGTTGGAGTATAGAAATGAGTACATTTCATCCAGATAACTCTCCCAGACCCCTGCACAAGGATGAGTCATCCAGGGCACCCCAGAGCAAAGCAAGTCAGCCCAGGGCCCACTCCAACAGAGCCCCAGCAGCCAGCCGAAAGCTCCCACATTCCACAAAATGGCATGCTCCTGGCTGGACCCCGTTGCTGAGGACAAGACTCATCCAGAAATTAATCTGCTGAAAATATTCAGGTATGCAGGGGTTGTGATCGAAATCCCCAGGTTTTCAACAGCTGGGCTCGGTTACCTCCCCCAATCTCCCCTGTCCCCAGCAGTCATGCACAAACTCCCAGGTCATCACCAATTAAAAATTTATCTCCAGTCCTATCACCCCATTAAAAATTTTGGATATCTTGGAATGACATTTCAAACTCTACAACACTGATAAATCAGTAGCACACCAGATTGAATGGGTGCAGAATATAATCAATCTTGATTAGCAAAACACAAATACAGAAGTCTTAACCTGTAACAACATTTTAGTAATATCTTATTGAAGGACTTAATGGCTTCAAGGTGAAACACAACAATATTTACTAACTTTCTTCTAAGGAAACATGTTTTGATCATTGATCTTTATTTTGGAAAAGTATAGCTAACAAGCAATATTAAATAAATTGTTGAGGGCCTGCTATGGGGGTAGGCTTAAGGAGTGGTTGGGAAAATTGGAAACAATGATAGAGAGAAGGTGTAATGGTGGTGGACTTGGTGCTGGAATACTGAATACGAGTAACAAATCATCATGAACTTGTAAACCTCCATGTTTATATAAAGTGTAAGAGGAAAATTTCAAAAAATAAATTTTTAAAAAAGTACACTTCAATAGCATAGTCTTTAAAAGAAACAAAGAAACAAAATATAATCCCAGATTTCTCTGTTAAAATTCTTTTGTTCTTACCAATTCGAGTGATTTTATTGTGTGAAAATTCAAGACTTTGAATATTAATGCAGCCATCCAAACCATGAAAAGATGTTAGTTGGTTTTTATTCAAAAGAACAACACAGAGATTTTCTAAGTTTTCACAGTTGACAGTCTCAATATGATTTTCCTAAAACAAAGAACAAATGCAATTAGTTTTATTTCAATTGTTTATTATTAATGACACATTTCAAGCAGGACAAAGGATGGGAAAGATCTTCAAATGACTACCTAATTTAATATAACTATTAAAACATATACTAATAAATTATTATTTTATATTTACAATGCTTTTAAATATATAAACCAGAAAATATCATATAACTATATTTCAAACAATCTAATAAACAAGAGCAAGCATTTAGTGAAAGTTCCTACAAAGCCTTTGCTTTTAAATAATATAAATAATGTTGAAATCTGCAGATTTCTTAGACCTTTTTTAAAAGTTTCACCTGCAAAGGTTATAAATATAGGGGCTGGAGAGATAGCACAGTGGGGAGGGATGTTTGCCTTGCTTGTGGCTGGGTTCAATTCCCAGCATTCCATATGGTCCCCTGAGCACCACCAGGAGTAATTCCTGAGTGCATGAGCCAGGAATGACCCCTGCACATCACCGGGTGTGATCCAAAAAGGAAAAAAAAAAGGATTAAAATATAATGAATTATAGATATATCTTATATATGTTTCTATATTTTCTCCCACATGCCCATGTCTGTAATACACTCTATTGGTTTAAGTACCACAACTGTGAGCCAATGATGCAACAATAATTTCCTATTTTAAAGACCTTGAAAGATTAAGGTAATGGTAAAGGCCCTCCCGTTGTTCATCGATTTGCTCGACTTTGTTGTTACTGTGTCTGGCATATTGAATACGTCACGGGGAGCTTGCCAGGCTTTGCCGTGCGGGTGAGATACTTTCGGTAGCTTGCCGGGCTCTCCGAGAGGGGCGGAGGAATCGAACTCAGGTCAGCCATGTTGGCTGCGTGCAAGGCAAACGCCCTACCACTGTCCTATGAAAGATTAAGTTTTTTAAAATAAAGTTCCATGACAGGAATATTTAGTAAACAATATTTTCAGGTCTAAAATAAACCCAGAATCCTATATGGTCTCCCAAGCACCACCAAAAGTAATTACTGAGTGAAGAGATAGGCATAACCCTGGAGCTCACTGAGTGTATCCCAAAATCCATATATATATATACTTTTTTCAAATATATCTCTGCATATAGGTTTGTTTTAATGAAATCAGCTGAAATCATAGAAAACCCATGTCTTAAAAGACAATGTCTTAATGAAAGTAATGCCAGCTTGAGCTGAAAAAAAAATTAAAAAATAAAAGAAGACTCTAGTCTCCTACCTCCCTCTTCTATGGGAAAGAAGACAGAGAAACTAATGTCTTGTAATGGGGTGCTTTTTATATAAAAGCATGTGTTGAGAATACAGATAAGGTTCACAAAGAACCAATGCCATGGAGCAAAACTCATAATCATTTAAGGAATTGACCACATGTTCTAAGATATGTAAAAAACACTGCTAGGAAGTTCTGGTTTTCTGACCAATAGAATGTCAGCTAATATTATGTCAGTATACACTTGATGAGCTTTGGAGTTTGTATTTTTTTGAAAATTCAACCTTAAGTTCCAGACACAATATGAGTATGTTGAAAATCACATGAAAAGCAGAAGTACAGATATCAAAGAATGAAACATAAAAGGCATCAGAAATAGTTTAACCCTTATATAATTGCATTTAAAAAAGTCAACATAATAAAGCATAAATCACCATACAAGCTGGCCTCAAAACACTGAGCAAATAATATGGGTATTGTTTCAATTTAAGTAATTTGGTTGCTTGTAATAAAAACAAAAAGTGACAAAAAATACATTTCCTTAATGATATAATTTCTGAGGCATCCTCTGGGACCCTGGGCCATCCACCAACCCTGATCCCCAGTCCTACTCGTCCCCAACTCTGTGACCAGTTTTCTCACACTTCCAGGTCAGTCAAAACTAGAACCTGGGACTCCACCTGCCCTGTGTACACACCCCAGGAGTCCACTGGGACCCTGAGCCACCCACCAGCCCATTCCCCACCAGCCCTGAGCTCCTTCCTGCTCCCAGGTATCCATAGTGGGCATGGCATCTGAAGAAGTGGGCATGGTCTATTTGGGGGAAGGTAGATGACCAAAACCCAGCAATCTGGTGTCACATCCCAGTCTCCACACCACCACCACAACATGAAGAAACAACGCAAATCCCCACCACAAGGAGAGGACGATGAAAAGAGTCCAGATGCCTCAATAGGTGTTACTCACATAAAGGAGTTCTCTGATAAAAAATTCAGATATAAAGTAATGAATATGTTCAATGAACTCAAAGAAACCATAACATAGATATCCAGTAAGTTAAAGGAGGACATGAAAAAAGTGATTGAGAAAATACAGGAAGAAATGAGAGCAGAAATTGGAAAGCTATGCACAGAAATGTCATGAATAAAGGATTCGATAGATGAAATAAAAAACTTAACAGTATGTGTGCCCTCAACAGTAGAATGGCTACAGCTGAAGACTGAATCAGCAGGCTGGAAGATGAGCTGCAGGAAGCCTACAGACCTCAAAATTGCTCTACAGTGAATAAGAGACCTAGGGGATAATTTCAAGAGGAACAATAATAGGATCACTGGAGTACCAGAAGGTCAGGGAAGCAATCCCAATGAAAAAGCAAAGTTAAAGAAATCATTGCTGAGAAGTTCCCAGAGCTGGAAAATGCAGGCATCCAGATTCAAGGACCCTGAAGGGTGCCAGCTAAAAGAGACCCTAACAAAAGCATCCCAGGACATATCATAGTTAGAATGATGGATGCCACCGATAGAGACACAACACTGCAAGCAGCAAGGTCAAAGAAGGAAATCACATACAAAGTAACACCCCTTAGATTCACAGCAGACCTATCAGAAGAAAATCTCCACACCTAAAGGCAATGGTGGGATATAGTGAAAAAACTCACTGAAATGAATGCTTCACCAAGAATACTTTATCCGGCCAAACTCTCACTCAATCTCAAGGAACAGTACACTATTTTCTGGATAAACAACAGCTCGGGAACTTTATAGAATCAAAACCAAGCCTAGAAGAAGGGCTAAAGGGGCCACTGTAAGACAAGCACAACAAACCCTTACAGAAAGATGACACAAAACCCCATGACAATAATCTCTCTCAATGTCAATGGTCTAAATTCACCAATTAAGAGACACAGAGTGGGAAATGGATAAAGAGACAGAACCGAAAATTATGCTGCCTATAAGAAACACATCTGAACAGTCAAAACAAACACATACTCAAAATCAAAGGATGGAAAACAATCTGGCAAGCAAACAATCCCCTCAAAAAAGCTGGGATGGCCTTACCTGTATCGGACAACATAGATTTCAGGTTGAAAAAGATTAGAAGGGACAGAGAAGGCCATTTTTTATTAATCAAGGGATATGTACAACAGGTAGAAATCACTATACTAAACGTATACACACCCAATGAGGGACCAGCCAAATACCTACAACAACTGCTAGCAGACCTTAAGAAGGACATTAAAAGCAACACAATAGAACTTGGAGACTTCAACACCACCTTATCACCTCTGGATAGATCAAGAAGATTAAAACTCAGCAAGGAAATAATGGCTTGAAAGGACGAAATAGAAGAGAGAAGGCAAATAGATCTATACAGAACTTTGTATCACCAAAAAAAAAAAAGAATACACATTCTTTTCCAGTGCACATGGAACATTTTCTGGAATAGACCATGTGCTGGGCCACAAAGCATACCTCAACAGAATCAGGAAGATAGACATTGATCAACTATCTTTTCAGACCACGATGCACTGAGGATAGAAGTCAATCATGTACAGACGCAGAAAACAAATAAAACATCTGGAAATCAAACAACTCAATGTTGTACAAAGAGGTTAGGAAAGAAATCCAGAACAAAAAGACAAAAGACACCTGGAAACAAATGAGAATGAAGACACAAGCTACCCGAACCTGTGAGATGCAGCTAAAGCCGTGTAAAGGGAAAATTTATAGCTCTGCAATCATTTATCAGGAAGGAAAGGCCCACATAAAAAACGTAACTTTGCAGCACACAATCTTAGAAAAGGAACAACAAAAGGAGCCCAAAGCAGGCAGAAGGAAAGAGATCATAAAACTCAGAGCAGAAAATAACGACATGGAAACCAAAAAAAAAAAAAAAAAAAAAAAACAATCCAAAGGATCAATGAAACCAAGAGATGGTTCTTCAAGAAAATAAACAAGATTGATAAACCACTAGCAAAACTCACAAAGAAAGAGAGAGAACGCTAATAAACCGAATCAGAAATGAAAAGGGGGACATCACAATGGAAACCAAAGAAATTCAGAAAATCATCAGAGACTACTTTGAAAGTCTGTATGCAACGAAACAAGAGAACCTAGAATAAAGGGATAAATTCCTGGATTTCTATAATCTCCCAAAGTTGAATCAAGAAGATCTGGAATACCTGAATAGACCTATTAATATCAAGAAAATTGAAACTGTAATCAAAAGTCCTCCCCCCAAAAAAAAGAGCCCAGGTCCAGATGGATTCACTAGCGAATTTCTCCAAACATTTAAAGAGAACCTACTGCCAATTCTTCTCAAGCTTTTGCAGGAAATTGAAGAAACAGAAACTCTCTCAAACAGTTTCTATGAGGATCATATGTGTCTAATACCAAAAGGAAACAAAGACACCACAGAAAAAGAAAACTATAGGCTAATATTCCTGATGAACACAGATGTGAAGATTCTCAACAAAATATTAGCAAATAGAATTCAACAACTCATCAAAAAGATCATACACCACGACCAAGTGGGATTCATCCCAGGGATTCAAAGATGGTTTAACATTCCGAAATCAAGCAATATAATCCATCATATCAACAAAAGAAAAGATTAAAACCATATGATCATTTCAATAGATGCAGAAAAATCATTTGACAAGATCCAGCACCTGTTTATGATGAAAACCCTTGCCAAAATGGGGAGAGAAGAAACTTTCCACAAAACAGTTAAAACCGTCTACATAAGCCTATGGCAAGCATCATCCTCAATGAGGAAAATCTAAGAGCCTTCCCTCTAAGACCAGGGATGAGACAAGGATGCCCACTCTCTCCACTACTGTTCAATAAAGTACTGTAAATACTTGAAATAGCATTTAGGCAAGGAAAAGATATTAAGGGCATTCAGGTAAGAAAGGAAGAAGTCAAGCTCTCACTATTCGCAGACGATATGATACTATATTATAGAACCCTAAAACCTGTACCAAGAAACTCCGAGAAACAACAGACCTATATAGTAAAGTTGCTGGCTATAAAATCAAAACCCCAAAGTCCATTTCCTATATGCAAATAAGAGAGAAGAAAGTGACATGAAAATAACAATCCCGTTCACAATCGTGCCTCAGAAAATCAAGTACCTAGGAATCAGCTTAATTAAGGACATAAAAGACCTGTACAAAGAAAACTACGAAACTCCACTTCAGGAAATAAAAGAGGACATGAGAAAATGGAAAGATATCCCCTGCTCATGGATCGGGAGAATCAACATTGTCAAAATGGCAACAGTCCCCAAAATATTGTACAAATTCAATGCAACTGCTATAAGGATACCGATGACATTCTTCAAAGAAATGGAACAAACATGCCTGCAATTCATATGGAACAATAAGCACCCACAAAGAGTTAAAGCAATTCTTGGGAAAAAGAAAAAGGGAAGAATCAACCTCCCCAACCTCAAACTCTACTACAAAGCAGTAATAATTAAAACAGCATGGCACTGGAATAAAGGCAGAGCCGCAGACCAATGGAACAGGGTTGAATATACTGACATCTCCCCGCAAACATATGATCATCTAATCTTTCATAAGGGAGCAAGAAATGTGAAGTGGAGCAAGAAAAGCCTCTTTAACAAACTGTGCTTGCAAAACTGGACAGCTACATGCAAAAACATGGGCGCAGATCTCTGCTTAACACCATGTACAAAAGTAAGATCAAAATGGATTAAAAGACCTCAACATCTGACCAGAATCCATAAGGTACATTGAAGACAAGGTTGGCAAAACCCTTCACAAAAATTGAAAAGAAAAGTATCATCAAAGATGTCATACCACTGTCCAAGCAAGTGAAAACAGAGATAGACAAATGGGACTCTCTTAAACTAAGAAACTTCTGCACATCAAAAGAAACAGTGACCAAAATACAAAGACAGTCTACAAAACGGGAAAGGATACTCACCCAATACCCATCCGATAAGGGGTTAATAGCAAGTATATACAAATCACTGGTTAAACTCCACAAAAAGAAAACAACCAACTCCATCAAAAAATGGCACGACGAAATGAACTGAAACTTTCCCAAAGAAGAAATCCGAACAGCTAAAAGGCACATGAGGAAATGCTCTACATCACTAATTCATCAGGGAGATGCAGATCAAAACAACAATGAGATTTCATCTCACACCACAGAGACTGGCTCACATCTAAAAGAACAAAAGCAACCGGTGTTGGCGCGAATGTGGCGAGAAAGGGACTCTTCTTCACTTATGGTGGGAATGCCTACTGGTTCAGCCCCTTTGGAAAACAGTATGGACGATTCTCAAAAAATTAGAAATTGAGCTCCCATTTGACCCAGCAATTCCACTCCTGGGAATATATCCCAGAGAGGCAAAAAAGCACAGTCAAAATGACATCTGTACTTCTATTTTCATTGCTGCACAGTTCACAATAGTGAAACTTTGGAAAAAAGTACGAGTGCCTGAGGACAGATGACTGATTAAAGAAACATTGGTACATTTACACAATAGAATACTATGCAGCTGTTAGAAAAGACTAAGTCATGAAATTTACATACAAGTGGTTCTACATGGAAAGTATCATGCTAAGTGAAATGAGCCAGAACGAGAGGGACAGACATAGAAAGACTGCACTTATCTGGGGAATATAAAGTAAAAGAATGGGAGACGAACACCCAAGAATAGTTAAGTACCAGGAGGTTTGCTCCAGGACTTAGAAGCTGGCAGCATATGCTGAGGGAAATTGCAGCTCAGATACAGAAGGGAACACCAAGTAAAAGATGTTTGGAGGATTTGCTCGGGATGTGAGATGTGTGCTGAAAGTAGACTATAGACTAAAAATATGGTCACGCAATACCTCTAGTGCAAACCACAATACCCGAAAGGAAAGAGAGAGCGAAAGGAATGCCCTGCCACAAAGGCGGGGTGGGGTGGGGGGGAGGGGGCTGGTGGGGGGGAGGGCTCCTGGGATCACTGATAGTGGAGAATGGGCACTGGTGGAGGGATGGGTGCTCAATCATTGTATAATTGAAACCCAAGCATGAAAGTTTCTAAGTCTACTATTGTACCTCATAGTGTTTCACTAATAAAAAAAAAAAGAAAGAAAGAAAGAAAGGAAAAGAATAAATGCTGCAAGATCAAAAAGAAAAAAAAAGGCTCTCTAGGACAATTACAAAGCAGTAGGGAATTTTGCCTTGCGCACCACCAGCCTGGCCGAGCTGGTTTCGATTCCTCCACCTCTCTCGAAGGGCCCGGCAAGCTACCGAGAGTAACTCACCTGCACAGCAAAGCCTGGCAAGCTACCTTTGACATATTCAATACGCCAAACCCAGTAACAAGTCTCACAATGGAGATGTTCCTGGTCCCGCTGGAGCAAATCTATGAACGATGGGAAGACAGTGGGACAGTGCTACAGTGCTACATGCAAAAAATAAAATAAAAAATAAATAGCAATATAATTTCCACGAGCTGAAGCGATAGCACAGTGGTTGGGTGTTTGCCTTGCGTGCAGCCAGCCCGGCCAAACCGGGTTCAATTCCTCCACCCCTCTTGGAGAGCCCAGCAAGCTACCGAGAGTATCTCGCCCGCCCGGCAAAACCTGGCAAGCTACCCATGATGTATTCAATATGCCAAACACAGTAACAAGTCTCAAAATAGAGACGTTACTGGGCCAGCTCAAGCAAATTGATGAACAACAGGAGGACAGTGTGTGACAGTGTATAATTTCCACATGATCATCTTGCCTCTATGCTTCTCATACACTTTACCCTGATCTCTTCAGACCGTACTTTACATGTAGGGTTACTTCAAGACTGCCTTTTCTTTAATATAAATATTAATCTATTTTAAAACAGAGGGATAAAGTCACGCGGGTTCCGGGGCCGAGATCTCCAAGCCTACTCGGATTTGGGCCAAGCATCCTCCACCCAGATCCTCCAAATTCCAGTAGGCGGGGGTCACACCCACCAACTGGCCCCCTGGCGCCATGTAATCCCATCAACGGCCAAGACTCAGAGACTATAAAAACCAGCTCCCGGAAGAGAACAGTGCAGTCTCCTGCCCCCACGCCTGACTGTCCTCGCCGCCAGTGCCCCTTGGAGGGGAGCGGGTTGAGCTTTCCTCCCTGCCCCGACCAGGGCTCCGGCAGCCAAAGACCTCCAGGGCCAGCCACCACCACGCTGAGACCACTCTCCACACACATGAAGGTACTGGCAGAGGGACAAAGTCACGCGGGTTCCAGGGCCGAGATCTCCAAGCCTACTCGGATTTGGGCCGAGCATCCTCCACCCAGATCCTCCAAATTCCAGTAGGTGGGGGTCACACCCACCAACTGGCCCTCTGGAGCCGTGTAATTCCATCAACGGCCAAGACTCAGAGGCTATAAAAACCAGCTCCCGGAACCACGCTGCCGCGAATGCATCTTATTATGACATCTTATTATCTCATTTCTACTTTGGACAAACTGGCAGGTTACCGAATGTAGCCTGCCCACACGGCAGAGTCTGGCAAACTTCCCGTGGTGTACCCAATATGCCAAATACCAGTAACAATGATGGGTCTCATTCTCCTAAAGAGCCTTGAATATAATCTCAGGGCTAGGATGAAGGAAACGTTACTGGGGCCTGCTCGAGGCAATTGACGATTAACAGGATGATTTGTGATTGTGATTTGTGATCATCTTGCCTCTATGCTTCTCATACACTTTACCCTGATCTCTTCAGACCCTACTTTACATGTAGGGTTACTTCAAGACTGCCTTTTCTTGAATATAAATATTAATCTATTTTAAAACATCTTATAAATGTAAATAATAAAAAAATAGCATATACCTGGGCATCAATGTACTTCAGTTTTTTGCAATTACTCAGGCTATCCAAACTGGTTAATCCACAGCGTTGAAGAGATAAAAACTGAAGATTTGAACATTCTCCCAGTGTAGAAAGACTGCAACCTGGCAAATCCTGAAATATAATTGTTGTAACCTAAAGAATTAAAGAACATTGAAAAGCAAGTAGCATTTATCAAAAGCGAACATAAACTGTATTGACTTAGTATTAAATGTACTAAACTGTATAAATCTGTATTAAAATGTTTTGAAAACTCTAAACGAAGCAAAGAAATTCTATAGGTTGAAATCCACATTAACAAATAAATTTTATTTATAATCTTATTTTAATTATAAAATCATAAAATATGAAATCATTGGTTGCTTCTAGTTGTAAAGTAGTATGCATGGAAAAATATTATGTTATTAGTTTACTCCCTAATTGATCGCCAAAATCACTTGTGTTTTTTCTGTCCTTGGTACCACTTCAAGATTCATTGGATCACTGATTCACTGTCATCCCATTTTTCTTCGATTTACTTAAGTGGGCACCAGTAACATCTCCATTCATTCCAGTCCTGAGATTTTAGCAGCCTCTCTTTACTCATTGTTCCCAACCTATTGGAGGCTCTTTCTTGGTCAGGAAAATGAGACCCATTATTATTACTGTTTTTGCCATATTCAATATGCCACGGCTAGCTTGCCAGGCTCTGCCATGTGGGTGGGATACTCTAGGTAGCTTGTTGGGCTCTCTGAGAGACGCATATATGTAATATATTATGTGTATTGATTTTATTGATATTATGCATATTACGTGTATTAAATTTTCATATATATTATGTGTATATATATTTCTCTACCAAATATGGTGTGGTAATTATGGAAAATGGGTAGGAAGTGTCTTATGATGTATCTAGGACTATGTTCACTCACGAGTCAGGCTCAGCCCCAAGCTTGTGGAAAGTGGCCTTGGAGCGTGAAGTCTGTTGGGTAATGGAGGTGAGCTGCCAGGGGTTGGGTCCCTTGGGGTGGGGAGGGCTCTCACCAACCCCCCTCTGGGGCGCCCTGAGTGAAAACAGCCTGGCAAAGAGTCTCATTTCAAGATTACACTATAAAAACATTTGATCTTTGTGTTTGACAGTACCCCAAGGATACATGACTGAGACCAGTAGTCACCACTTGTCAAGGAATACATATTTTGTGTCCAACATGCCATACTTCAACTAGAATAGCTTATCTATTACAGAACAAAAAAGAAACTTTGAGGTGAGATATAAAAGAATATACAATAAATATACAAATATTCTTTCTTATCCCTACCAAGTAATATACCAAAACAAAAAATAAAATATGGAGAATGAAAGCAACATTTTCTTTATTTTTAAACATTTTGTAAAGGACTATTAACACATTTATTATTAAAATCTTATGTGAGTTCCAAACTGTAATTTTTTTTCCTTCGGGGAATTTCATGCCACATCTCGCTATTCTGAGCATCTACTCCTAGGTCTGTGCTTACGGGTCACTGCAGTACTGCTAGGCAGAGCATGTAGTACTAGAGATCAAGCTGAGAAGCTGTACTTGCAAAAGTGTGCTCCAGCCCTTTGTCTAATTGTCATTGAAATCATCTTGGAGAAAATATATAAGCAAAACCGCTTTAGAGTAAAAATATTTTCAAATTGCAACATGAAAAAATTCAAAACTCATATTTCCTAGATACTCAAATAACTAATTAAAAAATACAAAGTTTATAGGAAGAGTCTAGTGTGTAACCTGCTCCAAACAGAAATTTTCAAGAATGTTCTTGTTGAAGCTAAAATGAACAGTGCTTCGGGACATATATATATACATATATATATATATATATATATTATGATAGTTATATATTTGTTATATACAAACATTAGTTATATATACAGATATATATAATCTGTGTATATATATAACGAATGTATGTATATAGCTATTAAATGCAATTCCTCTGCATATGGAATATTTCCTGGACATTAAAATTAAACCATATTTGAAATTTACACATTTAGGTAGATAACTGGAGAGTCAATACCTCAGAAAGATATTTTTTAAAAGATTCAGGCTACAACTGGGTTGATTCCTTTATCAATTTTGTTTATAAGAACACACCCAGCTGTACTCAGGTTTTACCTTGGCCCTGTGCTCAGGGATTACCCTTGGCAGTGGTCAGGGAAATATCTGCGGTTCCAAGTCAACTGTCTGTAAGACAAGCACCTTCCCCACCACAGTCAGTTTTAAATCCTTTGAATATTTTAAAAGTAATTTTAAAGCTCAGCTGAATAAAAAAATCAAGTTTTATAGATATTTTATCAATTTTTCAAGCTTTCAAAAGACAAAACAATTGTTGAAACGATTTTCCTACAACTTTTTAGAAAGAAAAACACCCACCCATTTCTATTGAAATAGTGTCTATATAATGTCCATTTAACTTATTCATAAAGAGATGCTGTCAGAAAAGTCGCCCCAACTAAAAATCAAGAAACTCTTTTGATAAGAGCACTTATACATCAAAAACTCTATCACTACAAAATCATGGGTTAAAAAAAAAAACACTTTTGGGCAGGAGTGATAGCATAGTGGGTAGGGCATTTGTCTTGAGGCTGACTCTAGTTCAATCCCCTGCATTACATAATTCTGAGTGCAGAACCAGGAGTAATCTCTGAGCATCCTGAGCATGGCTGGATATGATGCAAAAAATAAAAAAAAAATACCTTCATTAACCCATAACATATTATTTTGTCAGGTTTAATAATATTTTGCTTATAATAAGCCAGTAGTATAATTAATTTCTAGTTATTATGATGTGAAAATTTGTTTAAATTTTTTAAAAATTGTTTAATTTAGTTATAATATAGATGTGACAACTGATACAGTAACTTTCTCTACAGCATCAAATTAAAAAAATTAGACACATTCCATGATGATCCCTCTTTCCTTTTATTGAGATTACATTTTTTTTACGATTTTCTTATGATACTGCAATTTATTGTCTATTCCACCCTAGATTTTCTAGGCATATGAGATAAAAAAAATTATTTGATCATTACTGACACATGCATGACAATAATCACACAAATAAATGTCCTCGGAATCAAGGCAACAGATAAGGAGTGCGTGTGCAGAACAACTAAAAGGGCTGGAGAAATAGTACAGGAAGTAGAGCGCTTTCCTTGTAGGAGGCTGATCTGGGTTCAATACCCAGAACCTTATTTGGTCCCCCAAGACCTGCTAGAAATGATGCCTGAGCAAGGATCCAGGAATAAGCTGCCAGCTGTTTCTCCAAAACTAGCAGATACAAAAAACAAAACAGGCACTGGAGCACAGCTGAAGGTCACTAATTACTTCTTTTAAAAATAAATGAATAGGGATGGAAAAGGTACAGAAGAGAAGGCACTTGCCTTGCATGTGACTGCAGCAACCATACCAAATCCCCAGCACCATATAAGGCTCTCTGAGTGCACAGCGAGGAATATCTCCTGAGTACTGCCAGATGAGGCCCAAACTCCAAAACACAAACAAATCAATACTATATGCTAGCCTTTTGAAAAATAAGTATATTAATATTTTATTAATTATTAATATATGTATTTATAAAGTTATTGATATTTATTTTATTATTTATTAATGCTACTAAAATATTAATAGAATTCCTAGTTTTCCCCAAATAAGGCCAATGCAAAAGATAATTGAAAAATTAATATTTGAGAGCTTCATGATTTAAAAATGAATTACTCCATCTACAGAATCAATGACTCATTCATATTAATTTGTTAAGACACAAAAATCAGTTTTGTTTAATGAACTATATCTTTTTCAAGATTGCATTCCATATAAAATGCCTAAAAATGTTATATTTTAGGGAATTCACTCACTCATTCTTGAATTGACTGAAAGGAAATATAGGTATCTAAGGCAAAGTGTAATTATAAAAGTAACAAAAGGAATGACTGCGTTGTGTTGTGTTGAACATCTGTTTAGTGCGACAGTCCCATGTCTATTCACTGCAGATTAAAAAAAATGTTTAAAACTCAGCTGCAGGGGCTGGAGCAATAGCACAGCGGGTAGGGCGTTTGCCTTGCACGCAGCCAACTCAAGTTTGATTCCCAGCATCCCATATGGTCCCCTGAGCACTGCCAGGAGTAATTCCTGAGTGCAGAGCCAGGAGTAACCACTGCATCGCTGGATGTGACCCAAAAAGGAAAAAAAAAATCCTCAGCTACAAAAAGATAATAAAAAGTAAAACTGACTTGAACAAAACAAAAATTAATTCCAAGTATGCCATGTACTATCACACCATTTATCATTCAACACATAAGAAAGTAACATATTCAAGCACAAAATCGTTATCACCATAATTGGTAAATAGCTGTCTCTCATGCCATGGTATAAAAGCATATAAGAAGGCCCTTATTTTGTGATTGTTATTTAAAAAAGTTAACATTAGTGAAAAAAATACCAAAACTTTAGTAGAGTCTAATACTGACACCAAGAAACACAAAATACTTTGTTAATTACCAATAACTATTCATCAATCATAATTGTTGTTGATATAGTTTACATTTAATATAAAATACATATATCACCTAAGACAGGACACCTGTTATTTATACTGCTCTTTCATATCCCAGATACCTTTAAACACTTGTCTCCTTAAATGCTCTACAGAATCTTCTGGAATCATATTTGAGACATTTCTAAATCTATAGCAGTGTATTTATCCATTGAACATCATTTTCTCAATTAAAGAAAGCTCCATATGACAAAGACCGTGTTTGTTTCTGTCTAATTTTATCCCACAAAAATTTCTGATTAATTATGAATAGAATATTGAGTGATCATTACAGTATGTTAAGGTACTCGCTGTGCATTAGGCTGACCCTGCTCCAGTCCCTACCACTCACTGCATGTGATCTCCCATACTGCCAGGAGTGATCTCTGAGTGCAAAGCCAGGAGTATCCTCTGAGTACTGCGGAGAGCTAGTCAAGCTCTACTTCAACACAAAATACAGTTAAGTCATATTCAGATTTCTTTACATCAGCAAAGGTACAAACAGAGGTTCCCAGGTTTCCTTTTTTAAAGCTGCATTCAGCAAAGATTATGGAGGGGCATTCAGTACTAGAAATGAACTCAGTACCTACTACATGCTGTTCAGGTGTTCCTTCCAGCACTTGAGCTATTCCACAAGACCTCTAGGAGTTCATAAAAGTAAAGTGGCATTATGTGAAATTTTTAATAATAGGATATGAATTTTTATTTTCTACTATTGCAGTGACAAAGCTGGCTGTTCGGAGAGCCCGGCAAGCTACCGAGAGTATTTGATATGCCAGACACAGTAACAATAAAGTCTCCAATGGAGACGTTACTGGGCCCGCTCGAGCAAATCGACGATCAACGGGAGGGCCTTTACCTTTTTTACCTTTACTATTGCAGTATCTGAAATTCTGTTTTTTTTTCTATATATCTGTCATCAACCTGTCTTATTTTTCCTTGAAAATATGGGTTTCATTAGAGGATTATTAGAAATATAATGGAATATAATCTTAAAGTTAAATCATATATGTACCAAATTTATACAGTATAAAAACTAATTATCTTTCTATATAAAATGTCTAGATTTCATTCTTACAACTTCTTTTCTGGAGCTTGTCAAGTACAGGGAAATCTACTTCATTCCAGAAGAAGCCACTAGGTGGTGGTGTGTCCAAGACTAAAGCAAAACTTCTATCAAGTTAGGAGTTTCCTACTGTAACTCAGGCCCCAGTGGGCTCGAGAGATAGCACAGCGGGTAGGGAGTTTGCCTTGCAGGGTTCCTCCGCCCCTCTTGGCAAGCTACTGAGAGTATATGGGCCACACGGCAAAGCCTGGCAAGCTCCCCATCGAATAGTATTTGATATGCCAAACACAGTAATAACTCTCACAATGGTGATGTTACTGGGTCCTCTTGAGCAAATCCATGAACAATGGAAGGACAGTGACAGTGACAGTAACTCAGCCTCAGCTTCCCAGAAGCTGCCACTCTTAGAAGTTTGATAATAACTCTTCAACACAGGTTTCAGGATAGCATCAAAGATCTTTAAAGTATCTCACTGGGATACTTCTCCCTCTTCACTGAGGGAGAAGATGCCCTCAAAAAAATTTAATTAAGTTTTTTTTTTTTTTCAGTTCGTCCCCATTTCCAATAGAGCAATTACTTCACAAGCAACTTCAGTAGTCAAAATGCAAAATTCACCAAAATCCAATTCTAGCACTTACAAAGTAGTTGTCCCCTTTTTCTAAATTTAACTTTCAGTGGTGAATAAAGTATGGTATTTAAACATTCTCAATAGTAAAAACCACAACTTTTATACATAATACAATCTAATTTTAATTAAAAGAGAGACAAAATTCTTAGATAAAAACTGTGTTCTATATTTTGGAAGCCAACTATATTTTCAAGTTTCACTGTAGGAAACCAACTATATTTTCAAGTTTCATAAAAATATCGAATACCTGTTTTAAAGTATTCCAAGGGCCACGTCGCAGAATTTCTATCATGTTTAAAGGAGGCATGATGTTGACTGGGCATTTAATAGGTCTTTTTCTCTTAACTATCTTCTTTTCCTGATTTTGCTGGAAAATTTCAAGCCAAGGTTTAAATGATTTCTTCCAAGCTAGTCTCTTCTCTTTAATAGTCAACAGGAGGGCTGTCTCTGGCAAAGATCTGGTTACAGTATTTTCACATTCAGCTCTATTTTCATGACATGGTTCTGGAATATCTCTCTTTTGAGACATAGGAGAATTTACTTCTGTAAAAACTAGAGCATTTTTTGCAACACATCCACCCATATCATTGCAAGGAGTACTGCTACCAGAAATAGCATCTTTCTTGATTATTTTGTCATCTAATTGAGTCCCTGCACCATCTCTCGTATAAAAAATTATGCTAGCATTTAGAGCATTATTTTGAGGACTTGCAACAGTATCTTCAATTTTTGAATTTTCTAGGTTTTGCACTATTACATTTTTCTCTTTGACTTCAGATTTTTCTAATTTTAAAGGTAGGGAATTTTGTCTTCTTGAAATAACTAGAGCATTTTCTTCACCTGGTATTCCATTCTGTTCTGATATCACTTTATTTTCCACTTTTACTATCTTAGTTTGCTGGTTATCTTGGATTATTTTCTGTAGCTCACTTTTCTTCACATCACTAATTGCCTCATTATGTTCTACTATTGTTACTTGTGTTTTTTGGCTCATATTCTCAGAGTTAGCAATTTTCATTGTTTCTTCTTTTAGTACCTGTGACTTTAATTCTTGCAATTGAAACTGTTCCATTGCATTTTCTTTGAAATTTTGATTTTCCAAGTAAGACTTTTGCTCTATATTTTCATATTCTGTTTCTTGCTTGTCTGATTTATCTGAACATTGTTGCTTTGGTAGGTTTCCTAGTTTTTCTTCCATTTTAAATTCAGTAAAAACTGTTTTGCTTGAGATAGAGTTGTCTGATTTTATTTGCTGTGATTCTTTCAATGCACTCTGTCTACATCCGTTTTCTCTATTCTTCAATTCTTCAACTAGCCCAAGGGGAACATGTTCCCACTTCTTTGATGTTTCATCTTCCAGACTTCTGGCTACATCATTCTTACCCTTTATTATACCCATAACAGTTGAATATTTGGCACTATACCCTCCCTGCTTTAATGTTCTAATTATCATTAGCTGCTTACTTGTGTCTTCTTTAAACCTTGCTTTTTCCATATTTAGTAGTTGTACTTTTTCTTGCCTCAGTAAGTTCTTTTTTTCTTCGTATTCTTTTACTCTTTCTATCCTTTCTTCATCTTTCTGCTTTCTAATCTCATTTTCTATCCTTTGTTTTTCCTCTAATCTTTTAGATTTTTCTTCTTCTATCTTTCGTATTTTAGCCTCTTTTTCTTTCCACTCTTGTGCTTTTCTTTTCTTAATTTCTAATTGTTCTCTTATGATTGGGCCATATTTTCTATGGACTACAAAAGCTTTATATGTAGCTTGAATTTTCACAGCTGCATTATGCTTCACTTTGAACAAACGTATTTTTTCTTTTTCCTGTAGGTCTTTAAATCTTGTTCTTTCTTCTTCCATTTGTAAATTCAAGTTTCTAATGAATTCCTAAAAGAAAAGAATTCAAATAGTAGTCACTATAATCTAAATACTCAATACTAGTAATTGTAGATTTTTAAACAAATATTAAAGCGAATTGATGAAGCAATTGCTAAAAAGTTAACTTAGCAAAATCAATGCCATTTGGAGTAAAGGATACCAATAAAATGTTTTCCATCCAACAACTGAGTAAAAATGTATAAGTTCTAGATATCACTGATACAAATATATAGATGTCAGCAATATTTTAGAACCCTGAAGAAAGTCAGCTTTATGAAAGCAAATGTTATCTATGTTGTATTCATTTCTGCTTTTTAAGTGTTTTAGAGAAATGGCTAGCACAATTTATATAAGTAAATTTTCATAAATAAAAATATAAAACATTCTAAAGTTTCAAAATAATGTAAGGAATGAATGTCAAATATGCAGTCATAGTAAAAGGAAAAGTTAATTAATATGCAAAGATGTTACATCATTAAGTTCTTGGAAAATTAGGTAGTAAGAAATATGGAATCTATGATGAAGAAAACAAATCTTTTAAATTTAACACTAGGGAAAAATGTTTAAAGTATCTAAAAATCAAGAATATTTGCCTTGGGGCTGGAGCAATAGCACAGCAGGTAGGGTGTTTTCCTTGCACGCGGCCAACCCAGGTTCGATTCCCCTGGGCCCTGCCAAGGGTGATTCCTGAGTGCAGAGCCAGGAGTAACACCTGTGCATCGCCAGGTGTGACCCAAAAAGAAAAATAAAATTGCCTTTCCCTTTAAAATTTTGAGAGAATTTAGGTATATTTCAGAAATTAAAAACAGATTCTAGAAAGAATGTAGAGAATGACTCAAAGAACACTCATGATCAAATAAACCATTAGTACTTTTTTTTCTATGCCTTCTTCCTTTCTCTTAAAAGGGCAGCTTGCTCTTAGTTCATTGTAAATTCTTTTTCTTAGGTAATACATTATATTTCTGGTTTCCTTATATTTTCTCTTGTCTTGAATTTAGTTGCTATATTTTTAAATTACCAGGGATGGTTTTCTTTGTATTGTCTCTACATGGACATCATTATTTCTGAACGTTCACTTAATCACCTAATTCCCGTTATTCATTGATTTATTCGAGCGGGTGCCAGTAACGTCTCCATTCATCCCGGTTGCGTGCTAGTGTAGCCCAATGGTATCTGTTCGTTTTAGGAACATGTAGAGCCTCAAACTGATCATTTAGGGTCTTGACGAAGAAGTCTGACCATCTTATAGGTGGGCGTCCACGTGATCTTTTGATGTCTCGTGGAATCCAATCAGTAATGGCTCTAGTCCAGCGGTTGTCTGTAAACCTCATTACGTGTCCAGCCCATCTGATTTTTGATGTCTTGGCAAATGAGACAGCGTCCCTGATTCTTGAGCGTTGACGAAGATCAGAACTCCGGATTCTATCTCTCATTTGAGTGAATCGTGATATTCCAAGCATAGTTCTTTCGATTCCTCTTTGAGAGACCCGAATAGTGTTCTCATCCTGTTTTCGTAGGGTCCAGGTCTCTGAGGCATATGTTAATGCAGGAAGAATAGTGGAATCAAAGAGATGTGCTCGTAGCTGGAGGTTCTTTGTCCTTTTAGTTATTTCTTCAATGCTCTTGAAGGCATTCCAAGCCGCTCTCTTCCTCCTGCGCAACTCAGGTGCCAGGTCATTCATCATGTTGATTTCTCGACCTAGGTATATATAACTGTTGCATTCGGAGATGGTGGTTCCGTTGAGAGCGAATGGAGCGTCAGGAACAAGGCTGTTTCTCATAAACATTGTCTTCGTAAGATTCAGCTGTAGTCCGACCTTTCCACATTCACGGTCAAAGTCGTTCAGCATTTGTGCCACTTGGTTGATGTTTGGTGTTATTAGAACGATGTCATCAGCAAAGCGGAGGTGGTGTAGTTGCCGACCATCTATCTTCACTCCCATGTTTTCCCATTCCAGCCGTCGCATGATGTTCTCGAGGGTGGCACTGAAGAGTTTTGGTGAAATGGTATCACCCTGCCGAACCCCTCTCTTGATATGGATGATTACTTCTTTGTAGAATGGTGAGATCTTGGTAGTAAATCCGCAATAGAGCTCACGAAGGATCCTGATGTATTGAGTTTGTACGCCCTGATTGGCTAGGGCTTCCATGACCGCTTCCGTCTCAACAGAATCAAAGGCCTTCTTTAAATCAATGAACGTTAGACAGAGTGGCATCTTGAACTCCCGAGATACCTCAATGAGCTTGGTTATTGTGTGGATATGGTCGATGGTACTGAATCCTTTTCGGAATCCAGCTTGTTTCACATGGTTGTCCTTCATCTAGTGTTCTGCTAATCCTATTCAGGATGACTCGAGTGAATAGTTTGTAGATGACAGACAATAGGCAGATTGGGCGATAGTTGCCAATGTCGTGGATGTCTCCTTTCTTGTATAGTAGTACAGTCTTGCTGGTTTTCCATTGGGATGGAACCTTGCATTCAGACAGGTAGCGTGTGAAGAGTCGAGCCAATGTATTGATGAGTACTGATGGTAAGTTCTTCAGGTGTTCAGGTCTGATCTTGTCTGGGCCAGGTGCTCTTTGTTTCTTTACCGACAAGATGGCATGTTGGATTTCGGAAGGGAGAACATTGCGAACGACATATCCATCATGTGGTATGTGGTATGTGGGCAAGTGGATGTGGCTATTAAAGAGATCTGAGTAGAAGTCATGAATAATCTTCTCCATTGCCCTTCTGGAAGATGTGATAGATCCATCATGATGTCGGAGGGCAGTCATCTTGGTTTTGTAGTTGGTGAAGGACAGGCGGGCATTACGAATGTTTTTCCCAGCTTCTGCTGCATCTACCTCATCCTTGATGGCTTCTCTGCACTGTTTTGCCAGTTCGGACGTTTGCTTGTGGTTGCCTGAGGCACGTGCCAAGCCACGTTGGCGAATAAGTTCAAGAGTGTTCGAAGAAAGACGGTTTTTTGTGGTTATCTCTCTCTTGGCATTCCTTGCATAATCATGGAGGTGCTGAATCATTCGATTGTATTCCTCATCAATGTTGTCAATGACGGCATCTTCCCATGTTGCCGCAACAGAGCCAAAGAGTTCCCAGTTGGTGGTTGTTCTGGGAGTCCTCTTCTTAAACCTTGCATTCTTTTCTCCTCGTTCTGTGAGGTAGAATTTTGCACGAAGAAGACGGTGGTCTGATCCCATTTGGAATTTTGGGACAACAGCAACATCAGTTAGGCAAAACCGCCGATTGAATATGATGTGGTCTATTTCATTGTGGAACCGTCCATCGGGAGACTCCCATGTCCAACTTTTACATTCAGCCTTTTGGAATTGTGAGTTACCATGGAAGGTTTTGGTTGACATGATGAACTCAGACAGTCTGTCACCCTGTTCGTTCCATTCCAGGCCATGGGTTCCGATGTGGAGTTCATCGACTGATCTTCTTGGTCCTATCTTGGCATTAAAATCACCGACAATGATCTTGTAGAAGGTGTGATCTTCTTTATAGAATTTCTCCAGCTCCATGTAGAATTTCTCAGTTTTTCTTTCACCATAACTGGATGTTGGTGCATAGACAACAAAGATAGAAACTGCCGGTAGTGAGCCACATTTATTCAAGTGTAATCGTCCGATTCGGGTTGTTAGGCATTCAAATGAATCAATGCTCGTGACTAAGTTTGTGTTGACAAGGATACCGACACCACCGACGCCTCTTTTATCACATGTTCCAAGGAACAGTTCTTCTCCAGTGTCAAAAACAGCATGATGGGATTGATGTCTTCTCGTTTCGTTCTTTTCTGAACGTTAAGATCAATATTTTTTAAAGAATTTTAAAACACTTTTCAATATTGTTTCTTTACCCATTGTTTCTTCTCTATTCTCTCCTTTCCTTCTAGAATTGCTATTCCATTATTTATAACCTTTTGCTATATGCTACACAATTGTTTATTTTTATTGTTGTTTTACGACCTTTTCTCCATTATGTGTTTTCTTATTGACCAAGCTTCAGTTTTATAAAATTTACATGTGAATATAATTACAACTAATTTTATTTTATATATTAAAATTTTCAACTCCAAGATGATATTTAATTACATATTCTAAGTCTCTTCTCATATCACCTCCCTGCTTAACTATTTTGAAGTTACACAAAAGAGCTATTTAATTATTCTGAACTACAATAGGTAACTTACTATTGGGTTTTTATTTGAGGGGAGTAACTTTTATTAAATTTTTATTCTTCAAGTATTTAACATAAGTTTTTTTTCCCCCTTTATTTTATTTTATTTTTTTTAAAGTTGTAGATTTACAATTTTTTGTGCTTTGGTTTCAATTATACAATGATCAGATACCCATCCCTCCACCAGTGCCCATTTTCCACCACCATGGATAATATCCTTCCCACCCCCATCCCCCCTTCCCCCCTGTCTCTGTGGCAGGGCAATCCCCTGTGTTCTCTCTCTCCTTTTGGGTGTTGTGGTCTGCAAAAGAGGCATTGAGTGGCAAACATGTTCAGTCCATAGTCTACTTTCGACATTAACATAGTTTTAATGAACAGTTGAACTGATCACATTATAATATTGAAGCATATCAATTCAACATGTACATCAAATCTACATAATGCTACACATTATAAAAAAATCTATCTGGACCAAAAAAATACTTTTTCAAAACTTTCCTTATATAAATAAATAAAAGATAAAAGAAATACAAAATTAATAAATTTTTCATTATCAATGGAAATTTTATCTACATTTGTGCTGACTTGAAGTATGTTTATATAAAAATACAGAATATATAAGTTATATATAAGTATAAGTTAAATATAAGTTATAATACTCTCCACGCGCGTGGATGAGCCTCACGTATAAAGGAAACAGCAGAGGAACCCAGGTGTGCGGGACCTGGGGTTGAGATCTCCAAGCCCGCACAGTTCGGGACTGGGCTTTCCAGTAGCTAGTTACACCCACCAACTGCCGTGTAACCCATCAACGGCCAGGATCCAGAGA